AACATATTGTTGTCACTGCTTAGAAATACTGATTTGTGGAGACCAGATTTCCATACACTTATAGTAAAAATGTAAACATATAAATATTATGTAAACATTTCGTTTTATATAGTTTTGAAATTATACCAAAAAAGAAAATATTTAAAATGTGGGTTTCGTGGTAGACACAGTATTTCTGACAGATACAGACGAATAGACTATGATAATTATTGTTTTTTCTGTAGAAAATATAGTAAGATAATAATATATGATTAGACATTTAGACCATATTATTTTACCACATTTCACCTATATATTATTTATATGTTTGTCAGCTACTCCGTTTGCTTGAACCTAATACAAATCAAATATATATTAAATGTATAAAGTATAAACAACGACATTTATGTTACTAAAAATTTTAATAATTTGTGCCATTGTGTGTTCAAAAGTTATAAATAGTTATGAATCATAATTGTAGTTGGGAGGAGGGCTAAATATACTTTTTAATTGTGCCTATGATTAATCGATTAACCAAGTTGGTATCTATATTATTTCGTTCATAAAATAATTATTTCAAAATGTTAACACGCCTACGCGATTTTTGTTTTTTTTTAACTGCTCGTCTGTGCAACTGTCAATACAAATAAGTATCTAATACGACACTAAAGTTAAATTGTGTTTGGATACCACAAAATCTGCATGGTACAAAATAGATACCGGGTCTACGAAATTCTGCTGCAATATGCCACCTACCGTAATTTAAGGCTATCTACAAATCAAATTTATTTTACCGTTATTACGGTATATTTTCTACATTCTATTTTGTCAATTTCTTCATAATATTAACGTGTTCTATGAAAGTTATATGTATCTCTAAATTTCTTACATTTCGAAGAACGATTCTAATAAACCTTTTGTAGATGGTTGAACTTGAACAGAACGGCACCACTCGCTTCCCGAGGTTGGGATTACATTGCTCTATTATTATTTATAATGTATAATATTACATCATCTTATTAATTATGATAATATGTTTTAGTTGCTCTGCGTGTTTTAATGTTATACTTGGTTTTATCATGAAGTCCCCAGATCATTTCTATATCGTCGACATTTTAGCACCACTTATCGATTCAATGATGATGATGATGATGATGATGATTTATCGATGATTGTCATTCATATCAGTATATACACACCAAATACAAGCACAGACTAAATTTATTTATTTTTTGGTATAAAATGTACTTAATTCGCATTTACATGACGTCTAATATTAATTCAAAAATGATCAAATAGACCCAACAATTATTAATAGTCAATAGACAATAGATATTTATATTTTGGCATAGACAGTATTTATACTTAATCATCAAAAGTGAGATATATAGCAACATAGCATATTGAATGAGTACCAATCATATTTAAAATCAGTATAGACACCTTAATCCCAATCGTACCATAAAGAATATCCATTTATATCAACGTCCATCTTTCCATATATGTTCTACCAAACATATCACCTAAAACCTATTATTATTTATTGCCACAATAATATATTAGGTATAGGCTTTCTATTTTTGTTAAGTGTACAAGAAGATTAAAATAAACGCGTACAATTTATTATAATGGAAATGTTATGTATTTTTTGATTAAATACTAAATACGCTTGTGCGCATATTTTAACGGTTTTAAGCCCAAAGATAATTTAAATTTCGATCGAAACGTCACTAAAATAGTTAGAGCAAAAAAAAAAATGCTCATAGACCGGAAAAAAAATAAATATTGCATCGTTATTCCCGACGAGGGTGTGCTGAAAACTAGATTCGTAGACAACTTTTTAAATTCTTGACACGTTTTCGTCTGTAAGCCGGTGGCTGAATTTAATTATATTACTATATTATACAAACTATTATAAAGTGATGACCAACAGATGTGATACTCTGTTTCGATGTTCTCGTTTTTCTTGCATTTCGATACAGCATAATATTATATCGCTATAATAGTACCTACTACGACATGCGATGATGACGTTATCCAACCGAAACTTTACACACGCGTACATCGATAAATTTTCAGTTTGCTCATAGTGTTGTTACCGGACGAGTGGTGTGTACATTAATAATACTATTACATTGTATGATGATAGGCGCCGAGAAGTTATTAATTTTCGGGCAAACAGTACGAAAAATATAATATCATGCACGTGATATTATGCTGTAATTATTTACGGTACATCGATTTGGCAAACTACGAATTCAAACACAATATCAAGGTCGGACTGGACGACAGTTTCCACCGGAAATATTCATTAAACCCGGTCAGCATATTGTGAATAAGATAAAAAAAAACTATCATCATAATTTCATAACGGCGGCACGCGTGGCGCGACTGCAAGCGAGACTATAATAATTATTAGGAGAGTACAATTAAAAAGAATCCGATCATTGTGGCAGTTTGATCTAGCCCGCTGCCGCCGAAAATTTTTTCTATCCGCCGAGCTTTTCGAACCGAAACCGCGGTTATAACGTTTTGTTTTGTGGAGGGTTCCGATCGGTTTCTGTGAATGTACCTATCACAAGCGCGGATCTAGACAATTTAAACAGTGAGTGTTCAAAAGAAAAAAAAATTGGTTACACCTTTCTAATCGATATTATTTGTCCTTGATAATTATTAGTGCTAAATAAAATAGACAAATCAAGAGGTCGATTAATGTAAAACGTGGCATTTAAAAGTAATTGCAAAAAAATAAGTGATTATCGCTAATTATTGTTTCGTTAAAAAAAAAATTGATTGGAACAGGATACATGAATATATACGCAAGTGTGGGCTTTAACTAGGGAGCTATAAGAGCTTAAGCTGTTTTAAAATGTTATTTTTTTAAGCTTTTTAACTAATACTTAATTATTTAATTTCTAATTTTAAACTAACTAATAAACTAATAAACTGAAAAAGTTTGGGAACCGCTGACTTAAGCAGTTAATACGTCCAGTGTAATAACTTATAATGTTGTTTCAATTATTCATAAGTATAATACTTTAATTTAAAATCACATAATTTAATATTTATAATTAGTACGTAATAACTGTAGTTAAAACTAATTAGTTAATTATTTATCACGTTTAAACACTCTGTATAGATTGATTTTTAATACAAATAAATAAATATTCCTTAACTTTGTAATTTATTAAACACAGATATGTAATAATTTTCTTAAACTACTACAAGCAGCTAGCATGCAATAAAAAGGAATAGTAGGATGCATTTTAACAAGATGTTAGGTAAATTATTTAAAAGAAAATTTTAAGTTGCACTATTTCTAGATATGTGTGACCCGTGTGGTTATTAAAAATATTAATTAGCTTCTTTTTAACTTATTTAAGTTCGTATTTTTTTTTATGTACCTAAGTACCTACTGACAATGCTCAAAATATAAAAGCATAAAAACAATGTAATAAATATTAAATATAATAATATAAAAATTTTGCGAAATCATACGATTCTTTTGTTACATATTTTGTGTTTATTGACCGAACCAGAACATTGTTGTTTTATTACAATTACTTGTTTGTAAAGTTTATTTTAAAATTTTAGGAATTAGAAAATAATATTTCATCTAAAATGTTTAATTGCAATATGTATAATACACATGCGTTTATTAATTTTATTGCATAATATGAATGCTCAACAATATTACACAGTAATAAATATTATATTATTTACTGAAATTGTTTCAATGTAATTTTACGCTTGTATAGAAGCAGGACAAAAAAATATGTTCCTGAGTACTAATTACGTCAAGATATGTACATACAATTTATGATAATTTAACCATAAAACGATGGTGTAATGGTATATTTCTTAATAAAGTAGTTGGTTGAAATGTTGAATTGCATGTGACAAGCCGTCACGTTCTTTTTTTCGTGCAAAAAAAAATTTAAGTTATAAATAAGACTAAATAAAATGTATAGTCATATAATAGTAATAATAATAAAAAAGCGATGGGGGTTTTCGACCCTAATCCAACCACCCCTCTTGGATATGGTGCTGCATGTGGACTCCTGTAGAGTACCTATATCTGCCGGTGAAATGTTTTCGATTAATTCACAATATTATACTAGATTGACTTGTATTCAGAATAATGAGATAATAGTATTGTATAACTCCGATCCGTTTTTGGTATATAATATCCCTGTTTTCGGTAATAAAATCATAATCACCGAAGACGGCAAGATAACAACATGTAAGTAGAACATATTTCATTATGAGTAAATTACTGTGTGCATTTTTATTTTACTTACCCATTTATGTCAAAGTCATCAATAAACCATAATAATATTATAGTTATTTCTTATTAACCTCTAAATATAAAATAAATAACAATTGAATTAACATAATACCTATAAGGGTAAATAAATACTACGATCAGTTTTCTTTTTTGATGCCACTTTAGGTAAAATATTCAAACAGCAAAATAATACTTATAATAAATGTTTTTAATTGATCAAATATTTCATTGTTTTTAAATACCTTTAGATATTATTATATTATTTTTACTAGACTAAAAATGATTTTCATTCTAAAGCAATACAGTGGTATGCTTTACAACAGACATTTAATTCTCAATAAAACTGATTCATCCACTAAAATATTTTCAAAATTCTATAATTTTATAATTTATATTATAGGTACCTACATATGCCAAAAATGTTGAAGATTTTTTTGAAAATAATTGCACTTAAATATTTTATCTCTATTGAAAATAAAGTTAAATTAATAAATATAATATTATTAATTAGTAAAAAATACAAGACTTAAGGATTATTGTTTTATGAATTACAATAAAATAACCAAAATGGCTAATTCCTGCAGTATTGTTGTTTCATGCCGTTTTGTTATACATTACACTTTTTGTTCAACAATTCTCAGAAATTACGAACCTGCTTATAATTTTCAGGAAACTCTTGGGCCACATTCATCACTTACTACTGATTTGTACGTACTTGACGTACATCATCATCATGACCAACGGATATCCGTTGCGTCCTAATTATTGTTCTTTGTATGTTCCGGACGACAATTTCGTTATTGACGAACCAAACGCACCGGTTGCCGCTAAGCCCGTACTGGTAAAATATTATGTTTAAATCTTAATAAAAATCTTGCAACCCAATACCTTTCCGCTATTCCTATGGCATGATGATACCACTAATATATCACTACTGTCGTAATTATTCCTACATCACGAATGTATACATTATACAGGGTTATTCACAAAGCATGTTCCACCAAATGTTTATCAAATTTTGATTTTTGAGAATTTTAAGTATACCTACTATTAAGATTATAACTGTAAGGACCATATTCTCAAATAGATACTTAGATTTTTTTTTAATACCATTTAAGGAGTAGCGATACCAACATATTGTTTTCAAATAATAATCCACATTTTATACCATAAATTGTTAACCCGATGATTTTTGCCACAAATCTTTGATGTGTCTAAGTCACTTTGAAAGAGTAGGTAGTTTCTATAAAAATGTATATAGGTATTAATAGACTTTATATTATAGTCCTGAAAAATTGTTTAATAACAATTAAAAATGTAGGCACTTATTACACTCCGACAATTTTTACAAATTATAATATGTTAATAGACTCATATGAATTATTAATAACTTTAAAATTATAAACTATAATATTTGAATTATCAAAGCCCACATATCTTAAACCGAGTTATTATCAACCTATTATAAAATATGAACCTACAACTTAACTACATTATTCTTTGTTTGAATATCCAATGTTGTTAAAAATTGAACCTCAAACGCTTAAAAAAAATCGTAGTTCATCGGTCATAAAAAATTTTATCAACACCAAAAATATTTAAATGCCAAAAATAGTTTATAATAATTAATAATAATATTATAATTATTTTTTTTGAACTTTTATTGAGTTTGGAAAATTATTATTTTAGTAACAGCGGAATGATTCAAATTTCTATGATACATACTTTTTGAACTACAAGAAAAAAATTTAAATCGTTACTTTACGCATAATAATGTCTATATAATGCCTTTAAAATTTAAAATTCAATCACTCGCAAAAAATGTATATGGGTATATGCTAAACATTTTTTTAATTTCATTAATACAAACTTATGACTTACGGGCTTATAAGAAAACTTTGATTAAATTTATAAACCACAGGTATGAATATTAAAATGTTATAAATATTTAAGTACAAAATAATTCGCACATTTTTACTAATTTGACAAATTTTATCAAAATTCTAACGCTCATAAAAAATTATCATGGATTTAAGCTCAACCTTTTTTTTTTCTAATTCCAGTATTAATAACTTATGAGGAACCTTGTAATATCTTTTAAATAATTTCAACCGACCCTAAAAATGTTTATTAATACTTAAAAATAATAAAATTCAAAAATTTTAAATGCCTATACATAGCTTAAAATTAGTCAAAATATTTTGAAATTTATACCATGATTAGATAATGACAATATAAACATTTGGTAAAAATTGTAAGTTTTTACGGTTATTCGTTTTTGGAATGACAGCAAAATATTTTACTCAATTATGTCAAAAACTATTTTAAAGTTAATTTTTTCCCTGATTTTCCCCAATAAAATAATGCATAAGAAAAATAAGTACACTGAATAATTTTTATTTTTGACCTCCTATACTTAGTTCATTAGTTTATAAGTATAATTACTAGATTCGTTTTCCTTCCATAAACAATATCAAAGGTGAATATATTGAAGCAGGGGGCCAATTCTTGAAATCAATTGGCCCCCAGTTTCACTGCTCCAAATGATGATATCATTTTAAAACATAAATACATTCAGCTAAGAATCGAAAATCAAACATCGCCTGTGTGGCCTGATAGCTGCCTAACATATATATGAATTATTACTATCGTAGGTATATTAGATATAGATAATCGTTACTTACGAGTATTGTTCTTACAGTTTTTCGGTAAGAGATTCATGGAAGATAATTCTTCTAACGACTTAATAAAGCCATCCGAATCCAATATTATTCTGAAGAAGAAAAACTCGGAAATAATCAGCGCTTTGATGGGACTACGCAGGGCCATGTCAAACAAGTATGATGAACGTCATATACACAATTGATATCAAATAATGATATCAACATTTATCATTTCTAGTAAAAATACCTATGTTATGTTAATACGTAACACACATACAAATTGTAGCGAATACCAAAATAATAAATAAAATACAGCTATATACGCATTTTTTAAGTCTTTGTGTAAAAATGTTTCAAAAAATGTATAAGTTATGTATAAGTATGTATTTTTAAAACACATACTTAATTATGTATTTATGTGTGGCACATTGTACACGGTTGAGAATAATATAAAATGACCAAAATAAATATGGGTTACCTATGGCAGATTATTATTTTAATAACAGTTCAGTGCATTTATATGATCACATTATCACAACTCAATAAGCAATGCACTTCACGATCAACTTGTACCTATAAAGTACCTATGCTTTATTTACTAATTTTTGTTCCAACCACAATTAACATAGTCCAATTTTATCATAATTAATATATATACGTAAACATTCTTAGATTATATTATCTCAGTCCATGGATACATCTTTAAGTATATCTTAAATCATGACAAGGGCTAAGAATCTATCCTTATTTTTGGTCTAGAAACTTGCAAAGTAGCAACTTGCCTCATAGTTTTCGAATATCTATATAGGGTATAGTGATATTTTTTGTATTTGAGTTTTATATTTGTGAATTATTTAATTTATAGTTTAAATTAGTAACACCATTCGCCACATAACCCATGGGCTTTATCACCCAATAGAAATATTGAATATTTTTCATTTAAACTAATATTTATTATTTTATACGTTTACAGCATCAATATTTTGAAATAAATAATTAATTTTATTTGTCATAGTAATATGTTCATTGAATTGTTGTTATCAAGTTATTAAATGACCATTAGTTTTCTAGTGTAGTTTTAATATTTATTGTAATCATTCATGGTAAAATTGCAAATTTGTATAATATTGTATTATACCTATATATAATATACAATGACGGCTTGACGTTTAACGTGGCTTGGTGTTTAATTCTTTTGTGGAGTCCAGAACCATTTATGACATTTTGTGGAATACTTTTACTTTCATATATTTTCACTTTTAGTGAGAGAACCCAAAATTCGGATGGCATGGCACTGATAATAATATATGAGATAATACATTTTAGATTTTGAGTGGAACGATAAATTTATTGATTTTACAATGATGTGTGTTTGTTTTTTATTTTTTATTTTTTTTTTGTGTCTGTCATCACGGCTAAGGGCAGTAAAACTGCTTCGATTTTCAAATTCCTAATAGTTTTCAAAAGCAACGGAAAAAACAAAATATAAAAATTAAGGAAAACGGGAATTTTTAGGCAAAATCGGTTTTCCACAAAATCGATTTTGGTTTTTGTTTTAACTCTAAAACAAATGAACGTATATACATGAATTTTTCACTGGTAGTTTATATTTTCATTTTCTATACACGATAAAATTTTCAAAATTTGTTTAGAACTGTTTAGGAACATTTTTAGTTTCCAATTTTATTAGTATTTTTTTCTATGAATGTCAATAAAACTTTATTTGTTGGGTAAAAAAGCTTGAAAATTTAATACAAGGCTCCTACTATATTGTTACAATAACAGTAGAAAAATATTAAAAATCCTTAGTCACAATTTTTTTTTATAAGCATTTAAAGTTCGAATTTCGACAAAATTTTTCATATTTAAAATTTAACAATTATTTTGTAGTTAAAAGTTTATAAAATGTTCAACTTTTATAGCTAAGGATTGAAAATTTAAAACAAGGGTCCACGTAAATTTTTAAATATATAAATTACTTTATTCACAATAATATCATCAAATATACTTCGTAATATCATATGCTGACTGACTGTTTTAGTGTTTTCCCTCAGAATCGTTTTTCTTATACAATGATATTATATCATTGAATTCAAATTTAACACCATCCATTACAGCTACCCACTTGTCACCTACTGTACAGCAGAGTGACATCGACTTACCCACCTTTTTTAGATGTGTAGTTCTAAAGACACAAGCACCTGTTACATTCTTTAAAACCTGGCGCCTATGATTGATCATATTTAGAAACATAATTTTTGATGAGCCTAAGTGTGTGCAAATGTGCAAAAAGGTTACGTAGTGGATCATTATATATTTTTTAGATAATTTATTGGACAAATATCAAAATAAAATGTAGGTTTAACCAAATATATTAAATTTACATTAAAACAATAGATTTACAAGTATATAATACTGTAACAAATATTTGGGTAGTATAATATAATATGTATATTGTAGTTGAGGTACTTTATATATGCCTATTAATATTTTAAAATTCCAAGACAGATCGCATCAATGCAAAATATACGACTTTTAGACATGAATATCTCATATTGATGTGGTTGCGCTTAATGAAACCTAAGCTTTTGATTTAAGTCAGGCGATAAAATTATACCGAGATCTCTCACTTCATTCACAACATTGAATACGAGTAAAGCAACTTAGATCATATAAGTACTCTTGTTAACTAATATAATATATTAATATGATCTAAGATAAGCTACTAACTTAGCCATTAATACGAATGTGTACAATGTGTTGCCTATACAGGGCCCAAAATGTAGTCGTACACAATTATTGTACAAAACAATAGAAAATAGGTACCAAATTAATACCACATGGATACCACATGGATTAATACCAAAAGGAGTTAAGACACATGTTCGTACTAACATTAACTTTCATGTTTTCAACGTGGAACAAATAATTCGTAAATTGTAATCACTATATAAGAAATTTATTCAGTCTTATAAACGCTTCGTTCAAATACATTTTTGATATGTTTAAATACCTACCTATGTATCGTTATGGTAGTGTTTAGCAGTATTGGAATACTATTATAGATTCATTATCTTATTAGGTACTAATTATAAAAATAGTTTGATGATTGATATTGAAGGAAATATTGATGCAATCCATTTTTTAGAACGACACGATATTCGTATCCCTGGAAGTACCAGAGTTGAGGGGTTATTTTACCTGCCAGTTAACCATACTAATTTCGATAATAATTCTACACCGATCGGAATGGTGTCGATTAGCCAATAGAAATGTGTAATTTTTCGTACCCTGGCTAGTTTCCATACTTCACTTTATATTTTTAATTATTGGTAATTCTCGCTGTAAACTAATTGGAAAGTTAGTATCATATGTTATTACAATTTATTTTGTTATATTATACTTTTGTTTATCACAAAATTGTTAATTTCATTACTTTGTTTATATTGTTCTAGGAGCCGTTTGGGGTTTATTCTAATATAAATAAGAAAATTAAATTCAATATTTATATAAGTACGTATAATAAAATATGTTTCCGTAACGATAACACCATTCTTAGTTCAATAAAAAAAAAATAAAACAAAAATAAACTTATATCACCTACATTATGTTGAGAAATTTAAAATCCTTAGTTTACTTTACCATTGAGATTAGGTTTGTCGACTAATGATATTGTCAAATTTTTAGGAACACCTTCCAGCTCTAACATAATGATGCTGTTTTCTCCAGGATAAGGAATTAGAAATAAAGCTGGAACGTATAGAGTAATTTGTGGTCCAACCGATGGCCAGTATCGACCAATATTGATCCCGTTCACAAAAGCAACGCCCTTTTTAACATAAAAAAAAAAAAAAAAAAAAAACATTTGAGAGATTCATAAAATTAAATAAATAATATGCAATTATTTTTGTTCTATTATAATTAACTATAAAAAACCAACCTTTTTCCAACCAGTAGGATCCAAGTAAGTATCTAAAGGTTTTGATAAATTATCTGGCAATGTAAATGTTGTTTTATAAAATGCCGGTAATACGGCTTGTTTGTGTGGCTCGATCGTAGAAAGCCAAGACGTTTCGTTCAGAGGGTATGCTATCATCTTCCACGGACCCAGTACATGGTTACCCAAGGTTACAGGTTCAAAAATACCCTGCACATAGGATACGTTTAATAAAAAATCAGTAAAATAAATTGTAACCATATTATACCTTCCTGTCTTCAATATAATTTCCGAGGTTAATTCTTCCTTGGTTTTCTATTAGAATACTTAGCTTTTGAACTGTACTGTTTATATTTAAGCTCACGGGTAAATTTTCATATTTGCGAGGTATTATATTCACTTGTACCTAAAAAAATTTATAGCATATAGTTTATTATGAAATATAATATTATATAGTCAATCCCAGATTCAATTATTATTATTATTTATTAGTTATTACAATGTATTATTAGAGTCACCTATCTATAAATTCAGTTTAGTTTTCTCTCACCATTTTGAATCTACTTCAGCTACTCAACGAGTTATGATGCAATCAGAAATTTTAGCTAGGTCTTTGTTATAGCCATATTTTGAATTTACCCATTTAGAATATTATATTATGTACTTTTTGACGCTGAAGCCTGAAGTTGGTTTGTAGGACCGTTGGATTTCGAGTTTGGAAACCACAGCCCGTAAGTGTACTTGTTATACTTAATATACTATTTAACATAGGTATATAGGTACTGTAGAATAATAGGTACATATTCGAGGTAACTGATAAACCAGTATTCTTCATATTAGGTACGTTATTTCAATACTCTAGAAAATTTGGCAAATACCTATTTTTTTTTAGCTTTATTTTATAACTTCTAAAATAATTATGATAAAAAAAATTATAAACTCTAATGGGCACCATCATTTTAATCGTAAAAGAAAATTAAAATGATTGAAAAACATTTTTAAAACATTAAACCTATGTAGACTAGAGAACGTGTTTCTTTTATAAACCCAAAATTGTAATAAAATAACTATCAAATTTAGTTAAATTGGAAAATTATATTTTAGAATTTTAACCAGCTAGGGTATGAATGAAGCATTATAACTTATACCTGGTCCAAGAAGATGGTTGCTTGGTCTCTGATTTTGCTAATAGTAAGGTTTACAGGAGCTGTGACGAATTTTTGATCGTTCGTCAAAATAGTCTCGTACATGACAAATCCTGAGTTT